GCTTCAGTAGAACCAAGGGAATTTAAAAACAGAAATAGATAGCCTAGTAAGAAGACGGAGTTTAGCTGAAAATTGTAATTTATCTGCACAATACATTTCGAAATATCTGGTCACACATTTACTTGTCAAATCAGCTTATATGAAAAATGAAAGACCTGTTAGAATAAACAAAATAATGTAGGATTTAAGAAAGCTACTCTTCGCAGACCGAAAGTTACCAACATGTGGCTAGGTTACCCAGACGACATGGGATTTAAAGTGAACTGCTATTTGGATACATATATTCTGATGGATCTTACTAGTCTAGTATCGTATCGTTTACGTCCAATCATCTTGGTATTATGATCATATAGGGATAACAAAGGTAGTTTAAGGATAGATTGTTTTTGTACCCGCAGGTGGGGAGGAGGGTTAAGTTTACAGAAAGCTATTGCCTCTGACGGTTTTCAAAGTTAATTTTGAAGTTTGTCTTAATCGATCTTGTGACGCATATCAATTTAATGTTTTCTTTCTAGACGAATTTGGTAGTCTCCCACCTGCACTTATTGCGGTTCAACAGTTTAATTGTTTGCTGAGGCGTTCGAGTATATTTTCTGCCAACCCTATGTGCACAGTTCGATTACCCCTCCCTATGTGTGACCATGCACACATGTAAATTAATATAAAATGTAGGATGTGACATAGCCACTTGTGCAGTGTTGTAACTTGAGGTAGAGCGTCTCTTTGGTATTTCCGAAAATTCTAAGCCGGGCTGCATAGTAGTAATTCCATGGATGAAAGAATCTAGTCTCTCTTCTTAAATCTTACTTTTTACTCTTCCCATTGTGAAATAATTCTTTTGGTCGGGGGTGGGGATAGACTTATAGGCTTTCAGAATGATTAACGTCTGCACCAGTTCTAAAACTCTAAAGGATATCCGTTTCTGACAAGTGTGTATACATCAATATTTGATTGTCATCTTTTATTGAATAAGCGCTTAACCAAGCCTCTCTTACATTGTAATGGATAGAAAGTAAAAATTTTAATAGTGCCCTGTCCAAGTAGGTCGTGTTTTTTGAACCATCTTCTTTCCGAATCAAGAATATGCCTAGGAATACAAGTTGGTTGCAACTTTCTTCGTCACATGTAAGACATATTAAACACAACAGCCAACATTGCGCCTAAATTGATCTGAAAAGTAAATGTGTTATCATATTGTTGTATTGAACAAATATACCAAATTTTTCAGATTAACTGCGTCTTCTATTAACTCTATCAATACTTACTAAAGGGACTAATTGTTTTGAAAGCAGAAACAAGAATTAGCGAATAAAACACATCAAATTGTTATTTATGATTGTTAGTAACTTGTTCTATTAATCTATTTTTTAACGTTGCTGATTTGTTACGCAATTTCATTTAAATCACAATGTTCAAGCTGTTCCAAATATTATTCAAAATGCTTTGCATTATTTCTCATGTTTTACATTTCAGGGATAATGTCTCTGGAATATAGTGACTACCAGTTACATATACTAACTGATCAATGTTGCGATTTTGATTTAGTAAATCATCAACTAATGTATCTTGTTTGGCTTGTAATCTCTGTTCCCAGTAGCTGCGTTGGCGTAAATTCCTCCCGCATATTGCTACAATCTATGAAAATAAGATTAGTTTACTATAGTGAACTAAAAAGTATGTTAATTTAATAATTGTGAAAAAATATGATGAAATTAAAGAAGACTTAACTGTTGCTTAGCTTTAATCTGAAATGCATCTGCAGTGCTTGATTAAAATCGCGGATAACGGACTGTGGCTACATCGAAGGTTTGAAGATTCCACATTTTAGCGAAAGAAAGGGGAGACAATGGGAATTGCTGTAAACTGCAAACACAGGGTCAACAAGGCTGTTCATCGATTTTTAACCGTTAATTATTCCTCAACTTAGTGATGAGTAGTAACATAAAGGGGGAACTGATATTATATAGGACGGGTTGACCATTTATATCGGTGGTATTGTGTCATATAGTTATCATGAGCACACCTTTATATATTAATGTCGTGACAGTCTAAAATGGACCGTGATTTCTAACATGACCAGTAACCAATTAGTTCACACACAGTAACTTACATTTCTGCAATTCTATCTCAGAAATCACAGTTATTGTTATCAGCAGACGTTTGTTTTACTAACTAAATCACAAATAAAACTTTATAAAATTAAAATAAGCTACTTTTAATTTCTCAGTGTGTTGATACATATTAAGTTCACGAAAAACGGTATCCATGCACTATAAGGAATTAAACTGACTTAATCGCATTCACTAAACATAAACAAACAACAAAAATCGACTATTCTAGCTGATTATCCTACACAAATGGATTACGTCAATAAAAGTTGGCCAAACTATGATGGTTAATTACCAATGGCCTTATTAAAAGGTGAAGTAGGCTGACGGAGAATTGTATTCGTGAAGACCTCTCATCACAATCCTATCAGTTATAAGCACACACCAACTTGTTGTTTTAATGTCATTGCATTAATTTAGTTGCGTTGGTTTGATAAAAAAATATAAATCATCAAGACAATTGTTTTGAGCTTCGCTTCATATTGGGGATTGCACCCGGACAACGTACATTTGTATTAGCAGAATATCTATTGTCTTATATACCAGGTCGCTACTTTAGGCAATATAATAAGTTTTCCTCAGAGTAGCATGTCGAATGTAGTATTTTATTGTCTGTGCCCTGCTTTTCAACTCAACGCGCATACTTCACTTCAAGTTGTTTAATTTTAAAAAATGACATCTTTGCAAATCATTTATTAGTTTATGCAATTGTTAGCCATGGTAACTGATATATATATATATATATATATATATATATATATATATATCTGATATTTCATGTGTGTTCACTGATGAACAAATGTAAATAACACACGGTGAACTTTTTAATGTATGAATGTAAATATATTAACAATATACACGTATGATGAAGTTTAATATTCGTAATTATAAACAGAACACTTCCTAAAATGTATATTATTCGGTGGCTTTCTAATGTGTCACACCAATAGTTACAAGGTATTGATTTCAATACGGATACGCTTATTGACGTATAGAGTTAATGTCCATATCGAACAGTGAGCATATTTCACTTACCACATAGCTTCTTAATGTGTTTGTTGCTAAGGTAGGCGTCAAAATTCTACATCTTGCGCTTAGTCGTTTTATTCATTCATTCAAATATTCATTGTGGTAATGCATTAGAATAAGGCTCGCTTATAAATCATATATTTTACCGGTGTCCTCAGTTCGGAGGACGAATGTCCATAAACGCCGGCAAGGCTCCCTCCATATTCAGACATTTGCACAGTACCTCTTGGTTGATAGAACCCAATGCACCTTTCAGGTCAAGAAATATGGCAAGCATTTCAGAACCCGTCAGATCTAAAGCTTGTCTGGTTTATAGTAGATTGTTCTCCCTGAGCTCCGCTTAGTTTACAAATCCGGAATTTTTGATACTAAGCGAAGTTGGTCACTGTATGACTATCCAACGGAGATTTATCTTCTTTCGTAAACGCTTGGATAATCTGCGTTTTGCCCCAGTCCGATACAATAGTCTCGAATCCCCACACATTACGTAGCATCTCAGCTAAACTATCCAGTTATTTATTACCATCATCTTTGAACACATATGCAGACATAACACTAGATCCTGCTGCTTTCCTTCGAATCCTTTTCGGTTAGAGAGAACTTTAACAACTCTGATTGGATAAATAGTGTCCATATCCCAATCAGTTAGGTGTTGGGCTCTGGGAAAATTTAGGGTGGCTTTAACACCGTATTCCCTCTAAAGTTACAGTCATCTGTCCTGAGAAGTATTTAAACTACCATTCTTCTCAAAAATCGTTTCTCTTACCCTTTGATTTTTACATTCTGTTCACCTGATGAGTCGAAATAATTTTCTCGTTGTGCCTACCGATGGTGTTTTCTTGTCATCTGATTTACTTCTGTCTCCCACTTCCGATCATAATCGCTGTTACGACTTCTAATCAGATTGAATATGAGAAGCCTCCGCCCGACGTCATATTCGAGGCCGCCTGAAATTTAACTCCTTTTGTCTATCAGTTTGGATTAAGCATTAAAAGTGTACTGGAATTTCCCTACCGTTGGCTTCAGGTTGTCGACAGTCTTTATCATTATTTGTGCAGCTGACTCACTGGATATTATGCCAGTTTTCTTCAGGATGGGTATCGCTGTTAAACTCAGATACACATTTAGTTATTTTCTCTCCCAGAATTTGGGAGCATGGTGATTTCGTAGCTGCTCAATTGTAGATATATACGTGAACGGACTAGCATGTTATCGATGTACACAGGTGTTCCAGAATGTGGTGCATTCACTCTTTGTGATATTTATATCAATTAAATTTCATTTTTATTTTCATGTAATCATTATTTCTGCTGTTCATTTCCGTTCACTGTAGCTCCTTTGCATTGATTTTCTTTGTATTCATGTGTGATTTGATGAAGTGTATTGGCTTGAACTGGTTGACATCTTTGCGAACCTCCAGGCTGAAAACCCAGTCAGTATGTCACTATCATTGTCTTGATTATGCATTTAGTGTTTTATTCTGACTCCATTATCTCGGTGGCTGTTGGCAGTGGAGTCAAGAGACTTCTCACATTTATTTACATCCCCTCTTTTGATTAGTGTTTCTAGAGAAAATGAAAGCCAGAATTTATTACTCCAAGCATTACAGCTTTGTCAGTCAGACTACTCAGGTATAGCTGATTGAGATAAAAGTGCATATTGAGGAAAATGTCTTAAACTAGTGTTGTAAACTGCACTACTATTATTTTTAGGAATCATTATATATATATAAGCTTGATGATGAATTCGTTGAGAAGACTCTTTTCACTGAATCACTTGTCTACATTTTCTAATCACCCTATCGTTCACAGCACAGAAAATAACATTTGTGAGTATGGTTAATATAATACCAATACGACTTACTAGCTCTGCGTTGAATAGCTGATTTTGATCTAACACTGAATCAGTAACAGCTAAGTAGTACGATGATAATAATTTGCTTTGTTCTTCTTGAGTTCTGATGTATTGATTTGAAAGAGTTAAGTTACAGGAAAGTTTCTCTTTGAATTCCTCCTAATAATTGAAAATAAATATGTAAAAGAGCAATAAAATGAATTATTCAACAAAGGTTTTATAGTGTCTAAGTAAAGAAGAGATACACCACACAGAATTTATGTTATTTTTCTTCCTTTCAGTTGTCCTATACCACTTTCCGACCTTTGCTTACATAATTTCTCTTCGCCTTTTTATTTTACCTTTTAAATGATATGAAGCGTTGAAACATTATTGATTAGTGCTAGACAATTTCTTTCTGTATTATTCATCCACTCAATAGGTCTTTCGAATCTGTTCTTGAATTGGGATCTTCAAGTTGCTAAATTTTCGACAGATAAGTGTGATTACAGTGACTTTTGAGAAGACAGATATTATCAGTATATATCCTGTCGGTTGCTTGGCTATGAAAGGTCCTTTCATAACATTTTGAGTATATTGTTGCCACCTTTAACTTCTGTTAATGAGAAATTTAAGTAAGAAATATTGGCTATTAAACTGAAATATACCCTTTATTTTTTCCACTAATGAATAGTATTTGATGGGAACAAATTTTCCGTGATATTATTACGGTGTAAAACAAGAGACTTGGTAACTGAATTTTTTTTTTTGGGGATTTGATATCTCCATGTAGGAAAATTATGTACATCTTGTCTGACAATCGTCATTTGCAGAGGTCTCCTTGTTGTGTCCTACTTCTGCTCTTCTCATTGTGTTTCTTTGTCTTCTTCTCGTGTCTCCCATGTTTTGCCACAGCGCTGGTTCATTTGCTCCCTTTAATTTCAAGTCTATTACTCCACTATTTGTTATTTTTATGCCGATGAAGGTCTCTTTATATTACTACTGATAAATTTTGTCTGGTGCACACGCCACAATATCACTACAGACACATAATGTAATAAATGTTTTTCTATAAACCAAGTGTTATAGCTCATTAGGCTAAATGATGACACTTATAACCGTTCAATGATGATCGTTTGAACATAGAAGAGCTTGTAAGTTTACTGGAATTCAGAAATCACCTTTACATTTTCGAGTTATGCGTATCATCTGAATTTGTATTAGTCCTTTTTATTGATTCGTCATTAAAAGTTGTCGACAGCAGTTACTTATCTTCGACACAAACCCAAAAATAATTATTTAGTTTGAAACTATCATCTACATACACAGACTCCTCTTTATGGCTGTTATTATAAAATAGTGCTTGGTAATTTTCTGAATGGGAAGTTAGTAAAAGTTCAAAAAGTATCATCTATTACTGCAATTAGTAGCCCGGTTAAACCTCAGGTGCATAACGTTTATTCGTTCAGTAACATCAGCATATTGTATCAAAATGCTAGGTTACAACTGACAACTCAGGCGAAAGCAAATCGAGTAGGGTAGAGTGACTATTTGAATGACTTGTTTTTTGTTTAAAACGTTTATTATACTGTGTCCACCAACAATATTTATTCTTGCATAAGCTGCATTTTCACTTCCTTGAGACCGAGATTGATTCCATCTGGTGAATCTCAGGTCACCATGTGGATTTCCTTATGCTTGAATACCCTGACTCCAATAGCCAAATTATTCAACACTCAGAAGTCTGAAAACAGTTCTAAGTTCTCATGGGTTTCATGTAGTGCCTCTCAACTCATGATGAGCCCCCTTCCTGTATTGTCTGTTCCTTGTTTGCCAATCATATCACCCATTAGCATTTGAATTTAGCTATTTGTTTAAGGTCTTGTCCACTACTATCTGTAATTGTCTGTAGAATTCCACCTTTTTCGAACAGGTCTACGTTGCTTGTTTTTGCGTAGCATTGGATAACTGTAACTTTTCTTCCCTTTCAATTGTACCTTGCTACCATCATCTTGCATTCCATGTCCCCACGCTTACCTCTGCTTTCACAGAATGAAGACGTTTCAGCTAAATAGCTTCTCAAACGCTTTTATGGCTGCCGTATTCCACCCTCCTCAATTCTAGAGACGAATAAGTTTATTTTTTCTGTGCTTTGAAGTTTCAGTATCTACGGCGTAAGGCATAGGGGTCGATACTTCCCTGGCCAATCTTCCCACGTTTCCTGAGCTTAGGACTGGCTGACTAGTAAAGTAGGTGACGTTATACCTCTGTTTAGAAATTATTGAAATTAAGTCTTTTTCTCAGCTGGGAACTGAAACCTGTCAGCTGAAAGCTGTAATACCTTTATTAGAAAACTATGAAATCTAGGGGTATTTTGTGGTTATCTTTGTATTCACGTAGTGACTATTCTTAATGCTACAAATATTTCACCACTAAACTTCGTGATACCCGACTTAGTCTGACCATTGTGAAGGAAACAAACTGAGCATCTTAATGGTTTGTTTACAAAGTCGTCATAATTAATACCTTCAAATTTTTCAATATTGATTCGCGAGATCTCATCAGATTAGATTGTTGCAGTTCACGAGATTTTTGAAGAAGACACATTTGTTCAATTCGTTTTGTAGTGATATTCATTTCTGATTTGAGTGTTTTATTCACTTTTTTAAGGTCAGCAATTGTACACCTGCAATTTAACAGTTATAGACAGAAGAACTGGAAGTTATGAGGTCAGAAATTATAAGATCAAAAGAACTTAGCTAGCTACTAATTGACCACCACGTTAAAAATACTCAATTATTACATTGCGTACAAACAAATAACATCGGATAGAAGAGATCTGAACTTCTAAGGGGTACTACAGTTTAGCTAAGAGAGAGATTTACCTCTTCACTCTTCATCTTCATTATTATCATCGTCAAATCAGCCAGTAGTGACAAGTGTAGTGAGAAATGAAACCAACGAATATGAAATAATGGAACTATAAACACTCAGTGTGAGAATTAGTCGATTTTCCCGAAATCAGAATTACACTCTGTTACACTTCTTAGGTTCTATAATAATAATAGTAATAATAATCACTTTAATCCAAACAATAATAATTGTACAGAATGCAATTTTCAGCGTTTTTATACACATTGAAACAATTTAGCTCCTTTCATAAATATGTACATACAAAAAATTTAAAATAGTAATAATAATATTGATGATGAAACCGCTATAAACAGAATGTTGGTGAAGATATACTGAACTATAAGTAGATAATACATGTAATAATAATCTTTGCTTTTACTTTGTAGCTCAGATTACTGATTTAAGAAGTTTATAAGTTCCTTTCTGACATCTGACTCTTCAGACAAAACCTGTGCTAAATGTGGTATGGTAGAATTTTTATATTTAGTTGTATGAGCGTAAATTTGTATGACGTTCCTTCTGGCTTTAACCGAAGAGATACAAGGAGAAAGTTGAGAGCAAAGAGGATGTTCAGTATCAGACAAGATAACTTTAGCCAACTGCTTGCAAGAATTGAAGTGCCTCAAATGAACTGTCGTCAAGATTTGATCGAATAGTTCTAAAATATTTGGGCGCCGAGTGAGAAGTAGACATTTGTAAAAAATAAATTATATATAAAAACCTCTGTTATGTTAATTTCGATTAATATCCCTGAAGAAGTTCGGACCAGATTGCCGAACGAAACGTTGGAATTACTTATTTCAATATCGCTGAGATTTTACAAATATAATTTTTTTTACAAATTGAAGTGCCTGTTGACAATAATGTCAGTTAGCTGAGTAAAAGGCACACCACTAACACTAACCCTACTTACAGTCTTCAGTGTTCTACGTAACATGATAAAGTCTTTTTTGAAAAGTCCAGGGAAGAATAATGCCGGCCAATAAAGGAGAATGAGCAGAATACGTGAGTTAAAAAATTGTAGGAGAAGAGATTGAGTTATGCCAGCAGACAGTCTCAACTTCTTCATGTAATAAGTTAAACGAAAAATTTTCTTAGAGATCAACAGGATGTCAGACGACCAACAGAGATTGGAAGAGAAACTGACACAGAGATGAGAGATTTTCGAATAACTCCCCCATCACAAGGCCATCAATATTACAGCAATCAAGAGACTTAATTAGTCCACACAAGTCTTGTTCGTATCTGAATCTAAAATCAACGATGTGACATTTAGATGGATTCAGTTTAAGACCATTTAGGTGAGACCCTTTTTTGACTTCATACAAGAATTTATTCATATAAGAGCAGTCCCAAGCAAAAACTATTAGGACAGAAATGGTAAGATCAAAGGTAAATATAACGAAGTATGCTTTGGAAGAATACACAAGGTAATGCCAAAAGAAAGGAAAAAGGGATGGAGAGAGTGCAGCCCCCTGTGGCACATCAGTTTCCGTTCGCAACAAAGCAGGGCGCTTTTCATTCAAAGCAGTATGTTCTTTTCTACCCGGAAAATAAGAAAATAGCGACTTTCTGACCCACGACTCAGTGTATACTGAAACCAGCTTCCTTAGAAAAAGCGCCCTAGGAATAGAGTCACCAGCAGCACTCTAGTCCAAGAAGGAGGCTCGGACAAACTTCTATAATTATATTAGTTCCCTCACTAGATACGGAGAACTCCTATCAATCACATACTCATGCAGCCTGTTTCAAAGTGTGTCAACTAGAAATACACCACACATGTGAAAGCTTGTGAGTTGAATAGACAGTAACCTGTCTAATTGTTTCTATCGAATAAACCTGGTCTGTCCTAACTGCCCTCCTTAATAACCCACTAACGCTTCTCTTGCCAATTTGGATTTCCTTCCCAAATTATAACTAGTGTTCTTGTCATTAATCATTTACACCGAAATGTTCCAGTTACCTGGACTAAAACAAGGTAAAGAAAAATCCTAGGAAGCCATCATCGCGAACAAACGGAGAGATGTCTTGTTCATCAGAATTTGTTCGGAACAGCCTTTAATAAAAATTCCTTCATCCAGGAAGGAAGCAAATATACGTGCATATGAGTATGACGTGATATTCAGTGAGTTAGATGCAGAAATAATAATAAAGACAGTCGAAAAACTGAAACCAACTGATAGGAAATGTCAGAAGAATTCTCCCACATCATGCAAACTGATAGACACAAGGAGGTAGACTCCAAGCAGTTTCTAATATTGGAAGTCATTAGAAGTTATAACAGCGATTAGGAATAGAAGTGGAAGACAGGACCAAATGACATGACTAAAAAATATTATCGGCAGGCATTACGGGTATATAACCAGGAGACCGTAGCACGAAATCGGGTTCCAGGCCACCACTCGAGTGATATCACAATGGGAGGCAAAGAGTGCACAGTTGGTGTGAGGAGAAGATGAAAGGTTATAGAAAGCGATGGCACAGCTGCAGAGGACGGCAAAAACAACAACAAACCGGAGATACGTGGATGAAGAAAAACATAACATTTGGAAGACCAGAGACTAATAAAAACTAACAATAAACCAACACTGAGACACACTTAAACTAAAGTAAGAAAAAAACATCTAAAAATTAAAGAAGAAGCATAACTAAAGCTAATTGGAATAACATAAAAATTGTTCCTGTTATGTCACGCATGCATCAAAATAAAACTACTCAATCGCATTTGAAACAAACATTTTCAGTGCTAAGTCCAAGTTGAAGTGAGCTTTTGCAATCCTCTCCGAATGAAATAACCTGCTTTCCTCATCAACTGGGACCTTATCGCTTGTCCTCAGTATTATTCTCGTACTCGTGTTCAGCTGTATTGATGTTAGTCATTGTGCTGACGTGATATTTGAATTCCTTAAAATCACAACACTCGGATGAATCTACAGTCCACAGACATAAAAATACAGGCCAAAAGTAATGCGGTTAGCCACCTAACGACAACTGGCTAGTACGATGAATCTACGAAATTCACCTTATGGTTGTCACGGGATTCTTCGACTGATTCTCGTGGACTTTCTGGTGCTCCGAGAGCTTGGGAGGAAAGGTCACTAATGGATCAGTTTCAACTGAACAGTCGTATGTGTATTGTCCAGCTGAAGGGACTTGTGAAAAGACGGAGAGATTGTGCAGCTAACAGATATCTTTTCAAAATCCTACCCTACGCGCCAACTGACTGGATTTTCGGAGAAGTGAAAAGAGCTGTCTAGTTTAACGCTGAAGAGACAGAAGAGGTATCAGTGGTAAGAAATACCAGACACTAATTTGGATTTATTGGGGAAACAATTTGTAAGAAAAGAATGTTAGGTAAGTCGACCTCCGAGAAGAATGGTATTTTAATTACTTCTCAGGAGAGATGACTGTAACGTTGGAGGGACCACATTGAAGAGCGATTCAACTGGCTTACAACCACTCCAAATCTGCCTAGAACCCAACACCTACCTGATTAGGATATAGACATCGGGCGTCCAACTCTAAATAGGGTTGCAAAAGTTGTCCCTAGTCTTAGACGAGACATAGCAAGATGAGCTGACAGTTCGACTCCAAAGGTGTTTCAAGCTGGTGTTTGTGAATTATGCCACTCATAGGTAGCTTCATATCATATCTACGCCAGATATGACGTAAGGTGACGAATGTCATTTGGGTCTTTCTCATGTGTGCTGAGATTTCGTCAGCGATCAGTTCATTAGGCCAGATGGAACCTCCCGAATAAGTGAAATGTCAACGCATTCAACCACTTCACTTCCCATCTATAAACTAGGAGTCGATGCAAGCCAGTCCCGCAACATCATTCCTCATTTGACAGGGGCGACTCGCATGCTAAACATACTAAGACTTCCGTCCACGGTGTTCAGAAGACTCTTCATTTTCTCAGCCTGTTGATCGACAATGACTATATCATCTACAAACTCTAAATGAACAAATTTATTCCCAAGTTACACGTCGATTCTTAATTCACTAAAGTCGATTAGAGTGACATCTATTACTAAATCCATGAAGACATCAAACACAAGCCAAGTCAATGGCCATCCTTGATGAACACCAGTGGTTGTCATCAGTTCAGGTAATAACTGTCCCTGATTTCAGCACAGTGGCATGAGTTCGAGTAGAGTGAGGGACTTGATTAGTGCAATAAACGTTTTCGGCACCAGCTTCACAGTTATACAATGCCACAATACTTCTCAGTTGATAGAGTTAAATGCTGCCTTCATGTTCTTGTTTTGTGCTTCATGGTTTAATTACACAGCTTTCATCGCCTTTCTAAGCAACATCTTCAGTGCTAAGTCCAAGTTGAAGTGAGCTTTTGCAATCCTCTCCGAATGAAATAACCTGCTTTCCTCATCAACTGGGACCTTATCGCTTGTCCTCAGTATTATTCTCGTACTCGTGTTCAGCTGTATTGATGTTAGTCATTGTGCTGACGTGATATTTGAATTCCTTAAAATCACAACACTCGGATGAATCTACAGTCCACAGACATAAAAATACAGGCCAAAAGTAATGCGGTTAGCCACCTAACGACAACTGGCTAGTACGATGAATCTACGAAATTCACCTTATGGTTGTCACGGGATTCTTCGACTGATTCTCGTGGACTTTCTGGTGCTCCGAGAGCTTGGGAGGAAAGGTCACTAATGGATCAGTTTCAACTGAACAGTCGTATGTGTATTGTCCAGCTGAAGGGACTTGTGAAAAGACGGAGAGATTGTGCAGCTAACAGATATCTTTTCAAAATCCTACCCTACGCGCCAACTGACTGGATTTTCGGAGAAGTGAAAAGAGCTGTCTAGTTTAACGCTGAAGAGACAGAAGAGGTATCAGTGGTAAGAAATACCAGACACTAATTTGGATTTATTGGGGAAACAATTTGTAAGAAAAGAATGTTAGGTAAGTCGACCTCCGAGAAGAATGGTATTTTAATTACTTCTCAGGAGAGATGACTGTAACGTTGGAGGGACCACATTGAAGAGCGATTCAACTGGCTTACAACCACTCCAAATCTGCCTAGAACCCAACACCTACCTGATTAGGATATAGACATCGGGCGTCCAACTCTAAATAGGGTTGCAAAAGTTGTCCCTAGTCTTAGACGAGACATAGCAAGATGAGCTGACAGTTCGACTCCAAAGGTGTTTCAAGCTGGTGTTTGTGAATTATGCCACTCATAGGTAGCTTCATATCATATCTACGCCAGATATGACGTAAGGTGACGAATGTCATTTGGGTCTTTCTCATGTGTGCTGAGATTTCGTCAGCGATCAGTTCATTAGGCCAGATGGAACCTCCCGAATAAGTGAAATGTCAACGCATTCAACCACTTCACTTCCCATCTATAAACTAGGAGTCGATGCAAGCCAGTCCCGCAACATCATTCCTCATTTGACAGGGGCGACTCGCATGCTAAACATACTAAGACTTCCGTCCACGGTGTTCAGAAGACTCTTCATTTTCTCAGCCTGTTGATCGACAATGACTATATCATCTACAAACTCTAAATGAACAAATTTATTCCCAAGTTACACGTCGATTCTTAATTCACTAAAGTCGATTAGAGTGACATCTATTACTAAATCCATGAAGACATCAAACACAAGCCAAGTCAATGGCCATCCTTGATGAACACCAGTGGTTGTCATCAGTTCAGGTAATAACTGTCCCTGATTTCAGCACAGTGGCATGAGTTCGAGTAGAGTGAGGGACTTGATTAGTGCAATAAACGTTTTCGGCACCAGCTTCACAGTTATACAATGCCACAATACTTCTCAGTTGATAGAGTTAAATGCTGCCTTCATGTTCTTGTTTTGTGCTTCATGGTTTAATTACACAGCTTTCATCGCCTTTCTAAGCAACATCTTCAGTGCTAAGTCCAAGTTGAAGTGAGCTTTTGCAATCCTCTCCGAATGAAATAACCTGCTTTCCTCATCAACTGGGACCTTATCGCTTGTCCTCAGTATTATTCTCGTACTCGTGTTCAGCTGTATTGATGTTAGTCATTGTGCTGACGTGATATTTGAATTCCTTAAAATCACAACACTCGGATGAATCTACAGTCCACAGACATAAAAATACAGGCCAAAAGTAATGCGGTTAGCCACCTAACGACAACTGGCTAGTACGATGAATCTACGAAATTCACCTTATGGTTGTCACGGGATTCTTCGACTGATTCTCGTGGACTTTCTGGTGCTCCGAGAGCTTGGGAGGAAAGGTCACTAATGGATCAGTTTCAACTGAACAGTCGTATGTGTATTGTCCAGCTGAAGGGACTTGTGAAAAGACGGAGAGATTGTGCAGCTAACAGATATCTTTTCAAAATCCTACCCTACGCGCCAACTGACTGGATTTTCGGAGAAGTGAAAAGAGCTGTCTAGTTTAACGCTGAAGAGACAGAAGAGGTATCAGTGGTAAGAAATACCAGACACTAATTTGGATTTATTGGGGAAACAATTTGTAAGAAAAGAATGTTAGGTAAGTCGACCTCCGAGAAGAATGGTATTTTAATTACTTCTCAGGAGAGATGACTGTAACGTTGGAGGGACCACATTGAAGAGCGATTCAACTGGCTTACAACCACTCCAAATCTGCCTAGAACCCAACACCTACCTGATTAGGATATAGACATCGGGCGTCCAACTCTAAATAGGGTTGCAAAAGTTGTCCCTAGTCTTAGACGAGACATAGCAAGATGAGCTGACAGTTCGACTCCAAAGGTGTTTCAAGCTGGTGTTTGTGAATTATGCCACTCATAGGTAGCTTCATATCATATCTACGCCAGATATGACGTAAGGTGACGAATGTCATTTGGGTCTTTCTCATGTGTGCTGAGATTTCGTCAGCGATCAGTTCATTAGGCCAGATGGAACCTCCCGAATAAGTGAAATGTCAACGCATTCAACCACTTCACTTCCCATCTATAAACTAGGAGTCGATGCAAACCAGTCCCGCAACATCATTCCTCATTTGACAGGGGCGACTCGCATGCTAAACATACTATGACTTCCGTCCACGGTGTTCAGAAGACTCTTCATTTTCTCAGCCTGTTGATCGACAATGACTATATCATCTACAAACTCTAAATGAACAAATTTATTCCCAAGTTACACGTCGATTCTTAATTCACTAAAGTCGATTAGAGTGACATCTATTACTAAATCCATGAAGACATCAAACACAAGCCAAGTCAATGGCCATCCTTGATGAACACCAGTGGTTGTCATCAGTTCAGGTAATAACTGTCCCTGATTTCAGCACAGTGGCATGAGTTCGAGTAGAGTGAGGGACTTGATTAGTGCAATAAACGTTTTCGGCACCAGCTTCGCAATTATTCAATGTCAAATTGCTTCTCATTGGATATTTTTAAATGCTGTCTACGTGTGTGTATATCTGTGCAGGTTTCAGTTGGATTCCATATTATTTTGTTTATTAGGTATATCACACAGTGAAACAGTATTATTTACTGGATGACGTTTCGAACAAAATTTATTGTTCATAATCATATCAACTGTGATCACACGACTTTGACACTTGAGTTTTATAGCTTTCTTTGTTTTCTCCTATTTGTCGTAGGGGGAGTAGAATTTTCCAGATATCGAGGACAGGTGATGCTATCCCCGATATCTGGAAAATTCTACTCCCCCTACGACAAATAGGAGAAAACAAAGAAAGCTATAAAACTCAAGTGTCAAAGTCGTGTGATCACAGTTGATATGATTATGAACAATAAATTTTGTTCGAAACGTCATCCAGTAAATAATACTGTTTCACTGTGTGATATACCTAATAAACAAACTAATATGGAATTACTTACTACCACAGTGCCCAAGTTTTACACATATATTAATTCAGTTGGATTATTTTTCTCTTTATTCCAAATTGTTACTTCTCCTAATTATTTTAATATTACTAGGTTTTTTATTGTTCGATCTTGGTGTATTTCGCAGTGCAGCTTGTTCAACACATAATTATGACGCTTAGGATTTTGGATAGCTTTCACTCATGTTTTACCGCCTATGATTACCAGAACTTGGTGAATTCTCACGGAGAATAATTTACGTCTATCCAATTGGTCTATCGGAGATTCTCAAAGATATGTACTATTTTATTCAACCTGGCGAATAATGCGTTATCACCACCTCTAAACAAACCTTTTGTCACACAAAATTGAAGACCTGCAGGCGAAAACTGTCAACAAACTGGCTGAAAGCGCAGCCGGCGAAAACAGGACTCTAGGTGAACATGGAGAAGACGGAGGTGATGAAACGACAAGCGGGTCGTCGGTGCGAGGAGGAGATGAATGACTATGGGAATTCCGGACCCGTCTGAAGAAGGCGGCATAAAATAGAACAAAGTGCAGATGAGTTGTTGAAGCCCGATTTTCCTTTACGAACCCACGGATTTTTTCCTTCGTTATGATGTATTGTTAGTTAATTCATGGATTTTTTTATTCCTTCAGGTTCCTAGTGGAACATATGGCTTCAAGCTAAGAGCTTGAAGTTTCAGTAGCAGAGTTTATTTTTACGGTATGGGGTTGCTGGCCTCATGCCAAACCTTCCCTCTTTACCAGTCTTATTACTGGCTTAACGAGGTAAAGGAGTGCGTTAGCCGGGGATCGAACCGTGGACCATGTGCATAGTCGGCGAGCGTCCTAACCGCTATACTCATTAATATATAAGAGAATTTAAATTAGATCATAGAAATCTTGATGACTTTATCACCTTAGCTGAGTAGTTTTCGTGGTTGTTCTGAGATTAACTTTCATTAATGCCAACAAAGATAAACGTATTTTACTTTGTCTTTCTTCCAGAGAGGTTTTTTCTGATTCCAACTTTTTTTGTCTTGTCTTCAGTTCGCTGGCTTGTGTTTTAGATTTTGTCAATGAATTACCAAGCGTTTTAATTTTGGTACACATTAGAGAATATTCTTCATTCCATTGATTTTCAAACTGGTTAAATGAAAAGAAATGGTAATAAAGATGAAAAACATATAAAGGTTATGATTAATTTCTCTGCCGTTAAAACATCTTTGAGTAAGATTTATAATGGAAATAAGTTTAAATAGTGAGCTAACCATGCTGAAAATCATTTTCATTATTGATAATCTTATCAAACAAGGGAGTTATGGAATATCAGGAAAGGTTGAGAATACTCCGTAACAGTTCTCTAACACCCATGCTTCATCACGTGGATGTTATTATTATGAGATAACTGAAATTATAAAAGGAGATTTCCAAAATAATTATTAAATGCTTGAAACGAAATCTTTTTCAGTTTCTTACACAGAATATGCGAAGTATTTGTGACAATCATTAAATCCAAAGTCGTAAACCTTCAAATTATTCCCTAACACCTTTGAAGATGTCTTCTAGTTTTACAGACTGCATAATTATGAAACTGTTGGATGCATACTAGATACTGAGATTTAATTATTTTGACTTAGATAACCTTAGTTTGACAGATTGACTTCAATGTAACGCGTTGAAAAGTGAAGTGGAAAGAATCTCAGCAGATTCAAAACCCAAAGACCGTTGGTTCTGTCCTCTTGGAAAATAAGGCTTTTTTGTATGCACGTATGTATTATATCTTTTCTGATCTTTTTACTGATTATGTAAATCTCTAATGTTTTTCTGGTACATTTATTAGTCGCACAACTAAAGTCTGGACTGAATCCTACCCCAAAGTTCACTATAAAAACTTGTAGATCTTAGAAAACACTTTCTTATGTGTTAATGTAACCAGTTGGCTATTTACTAAATCAACCTGTCTTTATTCGCTTATTTTGTGCTAACCTTGTTTTCTTTTATTTAAAGTAAAATGTCTAACTGTACATGAAGGAGTGAAGAAAAGTTAATCAAAAAAATAGTTTTGTAACCGTTATCCATACATATTAAAGAATCATCTAATTATTTCTTATGTGTAAATTCTAAAGGATCAAGCATTCGAATTTTATTCACTTAAAATGGCAATAATTATGACAAAGCAATAAGAAGACGTAATTTGTCTGAATAGTGTAATGAATTTACGCAACACACTTCGAACAATCTGATCACACACGGACATATCCGAAACTTATCATAATACTGGTATTGTAACTCTACAAGAAACCTGGCTTTATGACTCATATGATGACAATATAGTATCTTTAAATGATTTTAATGTATTCCGACAAGACCGTGTTTGTTCCAAGAAAAAATGCGGCGGAGGAGTAGCTACATTTATTCATTCAAAATGGTCTATTTCTAACAACGTTTGTTTCAAATTCTCGAATGACTACATTGATTGCATCACTGTCAGATGTCGCCCGAGACACTTGTCAAAATACAAATTCATTTATATTTCTAATGTTTATGTCTCTCCTGACTGTACCATATCGGATTTATCTATGTTCGCAGATGAATTCACCGCTTTTGCTGCAGTTTGCTTCGAGAACTCTTTATCAATAGTGACTGGCGATTTTAACTCTTGTGATCACTCCTTCCTTATATCACTTGGCCATGATAATATTGTTAACTTTGCTACCCGTCTCGAAAAAACACTAGATCTAGTATTCATCAATGATGTTGGTATATATGAAGCTCGCAAACGTGCTCCTGTATTGAACTCTGACCACTGCATCATACGTGTGCTGCCTAAAATATATTCCAAATCACACAAACGTGTCTTCTCTCACCTCTACAGTAAATTTCAACGGAGATGCCACTCACAAGACAATCTAAGCAAACTCAGATGCATGTTGATAGATACTAACTGGGACCTATTTACAGAACAAACATTAAATGACACAATCACAAACACCACAGATTATCTTAAATTCTGTTTGGAAATATGTTGTCCTAAAGAAACATTATTCACTCGATTTGACCGTTTCTCTTCTCCATATCTCAAAAAGCTCCGTAGAGATAAAGAACTGTTGTTCAAAACAAATGATAAGTCAGGTGTAAAAAAGCTAAATCCTCTGATAAAACTCGAAATGCACAGACTAAATGTTTTATACAATCAAAGATTCTTTTCATGTAAAACCCCTTCTAGTTTATGGAAACTTTTTAAAGAAATTACTAGCGGTAAGCGGTGTACTTCTGTCCCATCTCTTAATGTTGATACTCTTAATAAGTCTTTCATACGCTCTTCCGTCGATATCCTTCCTAATGATACAAATCATATAGACAATAATTTTAGTGGCTTTAATACCCTTGATGTTCTTAAATGTCTCCGTTCTCTTAAGCCTTCCCAAAGCCTTGGTCCTGATGGCGTACCTGCCATTGTCCTCAGGAATTGTGCTGATATTTTGTGTTACCCTCTTACTAATATTTTTAATGCTTCCTTTTCCAGTAATGTTCTACCTTCTGCATGGAAAAACATTAAAATTGTCCCTATACCAAAACAATCTTCTGGTACCGATATTAAATTTAGGCCTATAGCAATTACTTCTCCTTTTTTAAAATTGATGGAAAAACTACTTTTACTTCGTCTTGAACCTTCTTTGAAAGCTTTTAATGACCCTAAGCAATTTGCTGCGGTTGTCTTATATCATAATGTTGTTTCTTGCTTAGACAAAGGTGCCAAATATGTTCGTGGTGCTTTCCTAGACTACACATCTGCGTTTGACTCTGTACCTAGGGGCCTTTTATTAAATAAGCTCTCCTTGACGCACACAGCATCCTGGGCTAAGAGTTGGTTGCATTCTTATTTTTCTGATAGAATGCAGTATACTGCATATAATGGCAAATCTTCTTCTGCTTTGCTTACAAAAGCCGGTGTTCCTCAAGGTGCCGTCCTCTCTCCCTTTCTTTTTTCTTTCTTCCTACATGACCTGCCACATTTAAACGAAACCAATTTTGTCAAATATGCTGATGATCTGGCTGTATCACTGCCTATCACTTCTGAGTCTGACTGCTCCAAACTTAATAGCTTTCTGTTGGACATCAGCATGTGGTCTAAGTCAAATGGTCTTATGTTAAATCCTTCCAAATGTCAGGCAGTTAACTTTACCTTCAACCATCGACGTGACATGCATGAACTAGTTAGTTCCCATGGTTCCTGTAGCATAGATGGTACAGAAATTGAAACCAAATCAAGCATTAAATACCATGGAGTAGTTCTTTCCTCTGACCTTTCATGGTCATCTCACATTTTATTGGTCTCTAAGAAAATGTTTCGTCTTACCTTCTACATTAAAAAGTTAAGACAACAAGGTATCAGCCAACCTTTAGTTCTGCAATTTTTAAACTCCTGTATTTTACCCATTATACTTTATTGTTCTCCATTAATCTTTCCTGGGCTTCTTAAAAAAGACTATGCCGTATTACGAAGGGTATTAAATGCTGTGAGTAGGGCTTGTGGTTTGCCACTGCGTGATCTCGCCAATACAATAGTCGAGAGACACGTAAATTCCTGTACAAATTGGGCAAAGGCCGTACTGTCAGACCCTCTGCACCCTCTTTATTCACAATTATCCCCTTGTATCTCATCAGGTAGAACGAGAAGTCAATATAAGAAATTATATGCTCGTACCACTAAGTATAAAAATTCTACAATACCGTATTTAGCCCGTATTTTATGTGATGAAGACACTGTTAGACGTGAAACATATAAGTTACTATGTAATTAGCATAGTGAATCGACCCTTTCATTGTTCATCTTTCTCTAATTCTATGGTGTCACCCTTTCTATCGTTTAATTATAACTTTGCTATTTTTATTTTAGTTGTTATTACTATTATTACTATAATTTTATATTTTATGCGTATTTTTCTCCTTATCCTATACTGTAATTGCTACATAGCTCCTATAAAAACGTCTTGTTATCATTATTATGTATTAATTATTCCGTTTATCTATTGTTGTTGTCATTTTTGAGTAAATTAGATGCAATACTGTACTGAATGCTGAAAATTCCTTGCTGTATCATTAATACTGTTTTTGGAATAAAGCAAAAATTATTATTATTATTAGGAATATATATGAAATTAATAACGAGTTAAGAGGTGAGAAAATAAATTTAGGTCAACTTAAAAGGACATATTGAAGGTCAAAATAACAATGAAGATCACTAAACCAAATAACACAGGTAATAGTACATCTGCTAAGGTATCATAAAAAAGTTTACCAAAGAAGTAATATCAGTAAAAAGTTTGAGCATTGTGGATTAGATCAAATAAAGTATAATTATATTTCAATGGTTTACACACAATGATAAGTTTCTTTATTGGTAATATTTCGAGCAAAAAACAATTCCAACAGTGGTGTGAACACGAGCAGTAATTTTGCTCGAAATATTACCAATAACAAAACTTATCATTGTGTGTAAACTATTGAAATATAATTATATTTTTATTCTACCAAAGAAGGTTTAGTGTGATGACGAATTGTTTTTGAATGCAAAATGGTAGTTTAAACTTTCTAATTGCTAGGGTTTCCACAAACTTTAACAACTTCATTTTTTATAGCGTAGGAAAGCACACACCCACCGGGATTCGAACCCATGACCTTCCGGTTACAAGGCGAGCTCGTGTACCATTAAGCCACTGGTATCCGATCCAATTAGCAATAGTTTATGCTCGAAACGTCATCAGTTAATATTACTGTATAACGCTGTGTGATTTATCAAAATAAAATCTTATCCATAATGGAGTTATGCTCTACCACAGTGCCCAAGTTTTATACTTATATCAATAAGAGCATATTCTCCTCGTTCTATAGTAGAGAGTCTTGACTAGTGCTCGTTTATAGTTATTTGGACAAAAACTATTAAAATGTAAGTATTGTCCATTCCATGTCAGCTTTCGGTAAATTGACCTCTGGAGACTACCATCTTCTAGGCGTTGCATAGTAATGCCAAGGAAATGGAACTTTCCATCATTTTCATGTTTCATAGTAAATTCAATATTTGTATGTGCGTCGCTGAATAATCTGAGTAGGTGGGAAGCATAACTTTCATTGTTGCACACTACAAATATGTTATCAACACATCGACAATGGGAAGTTGTTTCGTTAATTGCGTGCTTCAACTTTCTTTTCTCAAGGTTTGACATGAAGATATCTGCTAAAACAGGGCTAAGTGGACTACCCACAGCTACACCATCTATTTGTCTGTAAAGAATGTTGTCAAACTGGAATTGTACACCCATGGTACACATTAGCAGTATGCGTTTGAATTCCGACTCTGGTAGTGGAGAAGATCAGACTGATAACAAATGATCTCAATGGTTTCATTGATTGGGATCATTGTAAACAAGGAGGTTGCATCAAATGACGCCATGAACTTATTTGACACGTTCATGTGATTCACACTTTCGGCGAAATGAAATGAGTCTTTCATGGTGTGCACGGCTAGTCGTCGACGAATGGGTTCCAACTTCTCTGCAAGCCAAGGGGCAACCTTATGTTGGGGCAAGTTGATCATCGAAAGTATAGGTCTCGAAGGGACTTCTTTTTTGTGTGTCTTTGGGAGGCCATACATATGTGGCAAACGGGACCCTCGGGGTGGAAATTCATTGTACGTATTGTTGTCATTCAATTTCTTCTTTAGAAGATCTCTCAGTACGTTTGTGATGCATTTTTCAGCTGCATATGTCTTCTCTTTCTGGCAGCCGTCGACTTTAAACCTGAACGGGTCATTCAGCACAGTTTTCATCGTTGCGATATAGTCATCTCTGTCCATCAGCACCACTCGTGAGCCTTTATCAGATCGTAGTATGACGATATTGTCATTATTTCTGAGAGCTTTCAATGTTTTTTGATGCTCTTCAGAGAGGATTTTAGAACATGACGTTGGTGAAATGAGGTATTGATTTGAAACGTCGACCAGCTCAGATTCGAACCAGCTCTTCTTGTCCTCATCAACTGGAGTAAGGTGATTCAGCTGATAGAATAAGTTTTCGAATTGAGCTACGACATCGGTTATTTTGACAAAGTTATTCAGGATATGAAGTAAGTATTACGTTTTTGCTAGATCACATTTAGCTCAGAAACATAATCAGATAAAGGTAAATTATCCGCCATACATTTTTGAATTCAGAGAAAAGAAGACAGATAGTAACAACTGTCTGTAGAGGAGTGACATAGCCCAACAGATTTTTCGATTTTAAATCTCCGCACGCTATCAGTACTAAGGTTTCTTTTGTTCTCGGTCTTTCTAGGCAACCACGTATACTTATTACTAATCAAAAGTAAAAATGAATATAACGAAGAATTTTAAATAGTTAACTAGCAGGTAAACTTCTTTTGTTAAGTGAAAGGTTGTATTCACAGTGACAGAATGAACATCTTCGAGTGACACTATTATCTTTTACAGATTGTATACTACTGAAGAGTTCAGAAGGGTCTTCAACAATTATACCAGAAAACATATTATTTCATTCGATAGACAAAGTGGAACTCTTTAACCCTATTTATAAGATAACATGCTTGAAATGCGAATGGGGCTATACACAGAACAAACTTATTATAAAATAAGGACTGGAGGTAACACTGCAGTATATTATTTCGACATGTTAGAAATCTACCACAACTCGAATGATTGAAAAACGCTTCACCAATAACTGTACACATCACGTTGATCGGTCACATGATCTATTGTAATAACGTTGAGATTGTTCAGGGAAGTTTCGAAAATTGGAATGAACGGTTCATAAGAGAATCACTTCTTATCAAATGAGATCAAAAGTACTTCAGGAGAAATAAAGCAACCATTTTCGGGTTAATTTGCATTTTCTGTTAAATTGGTTATTTTGAACAGAAATGTTTGATCTCTGTTGAAATGACAGCTGCTAGTACGGTCACTTCGACGATGTCTTAAGAATTAATGTGAAGTTGATGGCGACTAGCAGTGGAACCCAAGATAAGCACTACGTCCTAATTGGGATTCGTCAGATGGATGTACCTCCACTCAGAGTAATATATGCTGAAGAATCTTGGTGGAGTAAATAAACGTCGACTTTTATATTATCAGTTCCCTGTTTACAATTGGATGCCAGTAAAAATAATCCTGTTTTGTTTCTCATTAATTTTACAACTCCAAAATAACGCGTTGACCTATAAAACTTAGGCATATTAAGTGTTTCTCAGTTAGTTTTAATACAGATTTTGGTCTGTCTAGAGGTTCATCATCCATTCAATTAATTCACTAGAAAGTTTAACAGTTTTAAGTTGAATATATACAGACAGTCATCTTTCATTTTAAACAAATTTGTAATATCTGCGCAAAAATCATTCAAAAAATAAACCATTATACTAAAAGGAATATATGAGTAGTATTTGCAGTGTCCTTAGGGCATAAAATGAGGCTCCAGTAAGCACGGAAAGATAGACTTTTCCAAATCAATAAAGCTACACAACCAGAAAAGCATGACAAACAGTGATCAAATACTTACTTTTTTGTATTCTGTTTGTGCATTATTGAGTCGCTCTGAAAAATATTTATGATTTAATCGAACAGCTTCTAATTCTACATTGGCATTTTCAATTGCACTTTCTAACTGTTTAGCTGTTTCCTCCAATTCTAATCGTTTACGATAGCCATCCTGTTTTGTGTTCTCGTATTCCTGAAGTTCTCTTTCTAGATCTACCATCATTTTACTTCTTAGCGCAGATTCCTTTTATAGAAAAAGATAAGAATATAGGCATCTGGGATATATTGTTAAGAAGAGACCAAAGAAGAAATAAGCAGGATATATGGTTAGCCGCATCGTAATGCTGCGTGTCTACTTTATGCATTTGTTGTTGTGGTTTACCGTCATTATTCAAGTGCTGTGGTTGCTCAACCACACAAATATTTCATCTATTTATCAATTGTAACTAGATATTCATGATACCGGGAACAAAATATTTTGATGAACAACCATAACTAATTTTTCAACAATATTTTAGTGTAGTCGATGGTCAGTATAAACAAACTAAAATCGACAGAGAGAATCAAATAGGAAGATAAATAATAGCTGAGTATATGCTGACAATTCAGACACATACTTGCAAATAAAGACATCTCTAGCTAAAAAATGTCTTGTCAGTTGTAACCGAGACATTTTTATCTATAATTGCCTGGTTTTTAAAGTACTGGAACTACTAACGCTGATAACGACAGCTTTTTCTTAGCTTAAAGTCAAAAACCAGTAACTCATTGGTGTGTAGTTCACTTAAGACATATAGAAACTGTACTGCTCACTATTACCTCCAACTAATCATGACAACCAGCAGTCAAGTTGTTTCTGACTGCACATATATCTGGTGAATCCAAAAGATATTTCCAAAGGTCACACGAATGATTATTGACGTTACTAAATAGTTGTTGTGTGTTGTTTTACACCTGTCTATCAGTATAACATATTTCCTCACTGAACAGATACAACTGTGACTATGAAAACACTTTTATATGTCTTAATTCCTCATAGGAATTGAAATAAATAAAAAATTAAGATTTCAATAACAATAAGAAGTATTATTATTATAGGTTGGAATTTAAACAAAAATAATGTTACTGCTCAACATTTTTACCCGGGATTTATTGATCATTTTGAATAACTGTCTGAATCATTTTTATTATGTGAATATTCAAAGCAAAATCAGTGAGTACACTTATCAGGTATCACTAACAAAAGAGATAGAAAGTGTATATGCAGTATGAATGCTTCATTTAGGGCATAGTTTTCTGACAAAAGGATTTAGAGAAATATAAATGATCAAATAGCACCTGACCGTTTATGTGGTTTAGACTAATACTTTCCAGAACTGTGCACATATGCCATCAAATAGGACCCAAACCAAGTCACTCCAGTCATTCGATGAACACGTACCAGTACACCTATTATATCTGATCCTGCTGGACCATGTTTTCTAGCCAGTCCCTAATTCCTGATACACTTTAGCTATTTTTTGCTGGTATGCGGTCATAACCACATGTTTGCGATGAAAACCAAACTGAAATCATCTAGGTGAATAATTAGTTAGTGCTTATTACTTTTTATCTTTGAGACGCATTTTTTCTAAGTTATAAGAAACTGTGGTTATTGAGTTTAATCAAATCCGGTGTGAGGAATGTCAGCAACAAATGTAACAGGATGACTATATCTCTGTTTTGGTGAATTAACTGAAACCAGAAACACGGATGTGTTGTAACTCACCATGAGAACTAGCAGTTTAACATACTGTTCGCGCTATTTTTATAAGTATACACTACTGAATAAGTTAGTTAATGCCTATTAACTATTAAGCCGACACTGATAGATGACACAAATTACATTACATTCAGACACACCACCGAGTTAGGGACTTTTAAGCATGAGAAATACATAAAATTTCAAATATATCAGCAAAATAAATTTATTTAACTATCGTCAAATATACCACCGTATTTGCGCTTATGCATGACTCATCTTCCTCAATATATTATTAGATAAAAATGTATGTATTTGTTTTGACTGGTTAATGCTTAATAAACATGTTTCGTTGACTGTGTGAACTGATATTGATAAGTTTATTCACGTGATACGGGAACACTGTGTGGTACAACTTCATAATACAAAACCTGTGTTAGTCCAAATTCTTGGCAAAATAAAGTCACAACAAAACATGGAGGTGATAAGGGTTTGAATTCTGTAAAGAATAAACACATTATTGAACGATTGCTGTGATAAAGAAGGGACAACTGTGTATTTCCAATTCAGTATTGAAGTATAACCAATAAACAACAACATTGAATGAATCATGAAAATAATATTCCAAGCTGGATATTGATCGAATAGTATTTTTTTAAAATTAGGTCATTTTACAACTTTGTATCAGGATCATCAATAAAATTCAAATATGTAAAAAATTTCATTAAGCAATCATCTGATTAGTAGATTATAGTCGACAGAATGACACCGATAAAGAAGGATTTCATACAATAGTGAGATGACGATTAGACTGCTCAGGATAGGCATAGTTTGGGTGAGTGCTGCTCTTTAAGAGTAGACCAACAACTGGACTTGGTATCTAACTTGGGCCTGCTGGTCAGAGACTGTAGGCTAAAATTGTAACTTAATTCTGCTTCAGGTATCATCTCCTTACATTTGGGTAGATTACTATTTTCAACAGAACATAAAAATATTCTATGGTAAAAATAGGCCAACTAAAGATATGAAACATTTGTAATTCTGTGATAATTTCAGTTCAGAAGATGGTATGCTTGATGAAAAGAAGTCCAAATATATTTAAACTCTATGGCACATATACACGAAATAATTTAGATTTATGTGGATACTGGCCATAATACCAATTCGACGAAAAAAATGCAAATGAAACTAATATTTCATTATTGGTATTTTTCACCACTCACTTGGTCAATTTGACTTTTTAACGATTTAACCAGGTAATATGATTACGAGGTAAGACATAATCCTCTCACTTTATACTTACCGAGTCTTCATTTGTACATGCTAACAGGTCAAACCTTATTACTTGCCGCACACATCTTCTACATTTCTCAAGTGCTTATATCATCTCATACTACTTTTTATTTAAAAGTAGTTCAAAGACTACTAGTTATTTAATGAACTGGACATGGAACTTATGACTAATATATGTGTAACTTACTAAGTGGCCGACCAAACTGGTTAAATTAGATAATAGTGAAATATGTTATTAACGTAGTGGTAGTTAATTATGAGTCTCAAAACCTTAACTTTACGTTTCTCGAATTATATTTGAAGTACTGTTTTTATCTGATAAAATAATGTCCTCATGCTCTAAATTTGCTATGCTACTTTTAGATAACAAATGTGTCAATAAGTAACTGGGTAAAAAGTTAGTGTAAATTAATCTACCATTTTGGTTGTCTACAACACTGATGTTATCAGAACGGATTGTAGTAAAAGGAAGCAAGGAAACTGAATTTCCAATATTATGTCAAGAAAAATCTAACCTCTTCAATTCTATTCTGTAAAAACTTCAACATGTTTTGCGCATCATCTTGTTCTGCTCTTGTTCGTGATTTAGTTAACTCCAAATCGTTTGTTACTGATAAGTGTTTAGCGTGCGTTTGATTATAATCAGTATTTGAAGAATGAAGTAAATCTTGCGCAGTGGTTAGACGTGATTCAAGTAGTTCAATAGATTTTCTTAGTTTGGCTATTTCATTCTGACTAAATAAGAATAATTGAAAAACAGCAGAAGAGTAATAATTTATAAACAGAGACATTTGCTTAAAGTGAAATAATTTAATGCTGCAGCAACTGACTGAATGATAAATTAACTAAGGACTTCTCACAAAATTACTTCACTTAAACCTGATATGAAAGAATCGAAGAGATTTCTAATAGCCCTAGAAACAAGAAATATGAGTGTGAGCGAAATCAAGATTTAATCAAGTGATGCTCATAACCTCAAGGAGTGAATACATTAGCGACATAAGAAGAGTCTACAGATAATTAGTTATGAGTATTGAGATAATCCCATAGAGACAGCCCACGCGACTAAAAGTGGTCCGCATAGTAGCCAAGGGAATAATAAAGTGGTACTGTATTTTGGTCTTAACAATTGTAACTTTCTGCTTTTTATTAGGCTTTAATCCATGAATATAGTGGTAATCTTACTCCTTTTAGCTGTATCTGTCATCGAGTATCATGAAAATTTTAAAACACTGCTATTGAGTACTAACTATTCAAAAGTTTTGCTCCGGGTTTTTCTTCAGACTACTGATATTTTATTGTACGGAAAGTGGGATTTATTCCCACCATATCAAGATTTGATGGTAGATAATGACAGCTGCTTGAAAAAGGATTTATATGTTATCAGAAGTTGAAAAAAATATGTTTGTTTTCTCTAATTCTGTTAATTAATCACTTATCTCGTCCACCGAACCAACACCAAACACATGCAATCGAAATGGACATATGAGGAACCGCAACAAAAAATAGAAGGAAGTAGGACAATGTAAAGCAAGTTATCAAATCGTGTGGATAAATCGATATGATTATAAGCAATAAATTGTGTTCAAAACATTATATCGCTATTAATGTTGTGTGTATGTATGTAAGATGACATAAAATTGTCTAATTTGGAGCTATACTCTACCACAGTGCTCAAATTCTACTCTTACTTAAATATTTGGTAGGTCGAAAAGGGAAAAATACTTTTTTTAAAAAGTTATCCAGGTCCTGATGCATGACAGCAAACATTTCACGGAAATTATATCTTATAGACTTTCTGTGTAGTTAGCTAAAACAACAGTAATTTAAGTTAGACAATCTGGATTCGTCTTATTTCATCCGATGAAGTTAATCAGCTTCCATGCACAAGAATTGTTCACAGCGTGTTGCGATCAGCACATGGAAAGTTGAAAGACACAACATTTTAGCTAATTGGTTATACAGATAAAACAATTAACTACTTAAATAGTGATCAAATAAGCCAGTAATTAAACAGTCATTTATTATTTTATTTTGATTACAGCTTGATTCCACACCGTATTTTCAGTACAAGTAGGGAATTTTCAGCATGGATATCGGTAGCCCAAATTTTGCAGGCCGACAATAGATATCGGGTGTGCATTGGCAGGGGATCAAACCTCGGACCATGTGCATGGTCGGCGAGAGTCCTAACCACTGTGCCACCGACGCACAGCAAAATATATCAATAATTATTTATGAAACAAATAAAAGATAAATGAAGTATGTTCTTACCAAGTTAGTATTCTATCTTCACAGCGATCATTTTCAATTTGTAATTGTTTTTCATCCATTTTTTTGTTATAACAATCTTCAGATTTTTTCTGTAATACTTGGTTCAGTTGATTATGTTCTTTATTTAACTTTCCATTGAATTGACTAACTAAGTTTTCTTCATTTTTTCTAATCCATAAAGATAAATTTTCACTAACAGTTTGTTTATTTATATAGTCTTTGTTTAATTCACTTAACTGTTGTTTTAATTGATCAAAAGACTGTTGATGCTCTTTTGTTAGTTGAGTTAATACTTGTATTCGATTTTTAACAGTTTCTATTTTATTTTTCATGTTTTCTGTTTCTTGAATAAGCTTAGGTTCAACTTCTGTGGCTTCTTTTAGTTTCACTCTGTTTAAAAAAGAATAACGGGATAAAACGAAAAAGATTAGCTATAAAATAGATTAGAATTAGCGATGTTGGCCACAAATATTAAGCGTTAAGATGTCTTCTCTGACCTCTTAAGAATACATTCATTTAGTGTTTGCTTCAATTAAAACTGCATTTGAGCTGAAAGTTCCGTGTTTTAGTATATTTAATAAAAACAGTGTCTGGTGAAAAAAGTCATTTATACGATCGAGTGGTCAGTCATATAATAGTTTTAGTGTTAATGGAAGTTGGGAATGTTAGACTTTCAATTGCCTTACAAGTAGTATATGACGCAATCGATCAAATAAGGCTTTGGTTTAGTTCTCATAATATGAAGTAGTTGAATATTTACACATAATGGTATGAATATGAGAGAATGGAGTTTTGGTTTCAGTTTAGCATTTAAAATGAAGTAGTTAGAATGATAAGAATAACTGTAGGTGTGAGGCAAGTCTTCAATGTCCTCAAAAATAAAAAAAGTTACCATTATTTTACATTTTCCATGGCTAGAAACCTGGTTCGTCGATGATTACACATAAGTTAGTATATTCTAGGTTGCCATAAAAATAACCAGCCAATAGAAATCTTACAGAATCATCTGTATGAAAATAGATTTCATTATTAAATCTGGGTTAGAAATTGTAAGTACATTAAATAGGAAGAATCTCCAAGTAGAAGTTTCACATACACAGTTCCATTTTGTAGGAATGAACGGTATCACACACGACAAAAGAGAACAGCTTATATGATTGAAAGATTTTCAAAAAATGAAATAATACCCAGTGAAATGATTTTAGCTTTTTCAAATTATAGCTCTTATAGAGTCAACAAATTAAAAATATAATGGACATCCTAATTAAAATCCTTTTTTTACATTTACTCTGTATCGACCACTTAATGTCTGATATTCGTCTTTTAAATGGTAAATATACATGGGGTTATAGATTCCATTGAGAAAACTTCTTTGCTGGGTTAAGTAATAAGTTATAATTCTTTTTCACTTTAATATCTTCAACAGTGAACAACCCGTATGTTCAAAGCGGAAATTTATTTCGTGTTACCAAACTTCCTTTCTACGAGATAGAATTAGAGAAAACTTGTAAACATAGTTCGATTTAGTCAGCAGAAAAATTTAATTCATTTACTAAAATGGAAATTAATGCCATAATTATATTGACGCTGTCAACATCAAACTATGCCAAAAAAGTGGGATACCGAGCTTCATACATAAATAGTAGGTCACAACTTACTGGGCTTCAAGAAGATTTTGTTCAGCCTTTCCAACATCTGATGCTAAATTATTACGAGTTTCTTCTGCTCTTCGTTTTACAGCATTAAATCTTATTTGAGTTTCATTCAAAAGACTATTAGTTTTCTGAAGAGTATCCAATGCCTTTATTTAAGAGTGAAAAAAAGCAAAATTAGAGATGAGAAATAAAAGTTTAAGATGGAAAAATAAAATAAAATTTAAGAGTCAAAAAATATTCTCGCTGATTGTTGCGAAATTAGTGGAAATCTGTGTGATGAGTCAATCCATCTAATATGAGTCAGAAACTTGGCGCCCAAGTCACAGAAACCGTTTCCAACAAGTTATACACTTTTAGAAACAGCTACCTCCGCTCCATATTGAAGATCAGATAGCTAGAAATAATTAGCTACAAGAATTTATGGGAACAAACTAACCGAGAACCCAACGTTCAACAAATATCCAGAAGAAAATGGAGATGGATTGGGCACACTCTGAAGAGACCGTCGAAAGACATCGCGCGCCAGACCCTAGAGTGGAACGGAAGGGTGGATCGTCCGAGGGTGACATAAAGGAGGTCGTACGAGGAAGATATCAGAGATTATGGTCAATCGTGGGCCCAGCTAAAGAGGACAGAAGAAAATAGAACAAAGTGGAGATGCATTGTTGGAGTCTTGCGTTCCACTCCGAATCCAAGGGAATAGTAATAATAATAAGTAATATTCGCTTAAGAAAATAGGGGTTTCCACTAATCAAGTTCAGCTGCTTGAATGTTAGCCTTTTTAGTACTTTATTCCCTAGAGTACCATTTCTTGAAATTGTTTTCCGATCTACAATTACTAAAACCACTATCACTGAGTTATAAAAGGTAGTCCATTTTAACTTGCTGAAAAGACAAATATGAAAAAAAAATATGAAAAACCGTTAAATATAAATTACAGCTGCTACGCTTCATATGTACATCAAGTTAATACATGAGTTAATATGTCGAAGTGGAACAGACAATGCCCACATAACTGGCGATATAAAACAAATTACTGACTTGATTTCATGCCATCAAATAATTAAGAGATTTCTACATGAACAATAATCTACTGAACATTAAACATAAAATTTAAACCACAAATAAAAGTCAGAAAAATTAAAACTATTATTCACTGCTTAAGTTCCCAGTGATACAGAGAAGAACATCTCCATTCTGCTCAGCCCTCTTTCATTATTTTCAACTGGCTACACGACTACCCACAACACGTCACTCCACATTCGCGGTGTTTGATGCAATCTAAAGGTCTCCTTAGCGTATATCTGACCCATCTCTATTCTCTTCTGCATGTTTTTCTAGTACTGATGTGGTCAGAAATTATAAGATCAAAAGAACTTAGCTAGCTATTAATTGACCACCACGTTAAAAATGCTCAATTATTACATTGCATACAATCAAATACCATCGGATAGAAGAGATCTGAACTTCTAAGGGGTACTACAGTTTAGCTAAGAGAGAGATTTACCTCTTCACTCTTCATCTTCATTATTATCATCGTCAAATCAGCCAGTAGTGACAAGTGTAGTGAGAAATGAAACCAACGAATATGAAATAATGGAACTATAAACACTCAGTGTGAGAATTAGTCGATTTTCCCGAAATCAGAATTACACTCTGTTACACTTCTTAGGTTCTATAATAATAATAGTAATAATAATCACTTTAATCCAAACAATAATAATTGTACAGAATGCAATTTTCAGCGTTTTTATACACATTGAAACAATTTAGCTCCTTTCATAAATATGTACATACAAAAAATTTAAAATAGTAATAATAATATTAATGATGAAACCGCTATAAACAGAATGTTGGTGAAGATATACTGAACTATAAGTAGATAATACATGTAATAATAATCTTTGCTTTTACTTTGTAGCTCAGATTACTGATTTAAGAAGTTTATAAGTTCCTTTCTGACATCTGACTCTTCAGACAAAACCTGTGCTAAATGTGGTATGGTAGAATTTTTATATTTAGTTGTATGAGCGTAAATTTGTATGACGTTCCTTCTGGCTTTAACCGAAGAGATACAAGGAGAAAGTTGAGAGCAAAGAGGATGTTCAGTATCAGACAAGATAACTTTAGCCAACTGCTTGCAAGAATTGAAGTGCCTCAAATGAACTGTCGTCAAGATTTGATCGAATAGTTCTAAAATATTTGGGCGCCGAGTGAGAAGTAGACATTTGCAAAAAATAAATTATATATAAAAACCTCTGTTATGTTAATTTCGATTAATATCCCTGAAGAAGTTCGGACCAGATTGCCGAACGAAACGTTGGAATTACTTATTTCAATATCGCTGAGATTTTACAAATATAATTTTTTTTACAAATTGAAGTGCCTGTTGACAATAATGTCAGTTAGCTGAGTAAAAGGCACACCACTAACACTAACCCTACTTACAGTCTTCAGTGTTCTACGTAACATGATAAAGTCTTTTTTGAAAAGTCCAGGGAAGAATAATGCCGGCCAATAAAGGAGAATGAGCAGAATACGTGAGTTAAAAAATTGTAGGAGAAGAGATTGAGTTATGCCAGCAGACAGTCTCAACTTCTTCATGTAATAAGTTAAACGAAAAATTTTCTTAGAGATCAACAGGATGTCAGACGACCAACAGAGATTCGAAGAGAAACTGACACAGAGATGAGAGATTTTCGAATAACTCCCCCATCACAAGGCCATCAATATTACAGCAATCAAGAGACTTAATTAGTCTCTAGCGGTAAATAATTCCCCAAAATTATTAACCACAGCAATCATCACTCAACATTGGATGCTGACCATCACTGTTTAAGTCGACTTGTTTAGCTGAAGGCTTACGGTCAAGCATCCCCGCCATTTGGTGCTCCGTCGTGTCACGTGCGTGCACGATTACTAGCTAGCTAAGCATTCACCTCTACCCGCGATTTTGTCCCGAAATATAATACGTACTTTGGACGACAAAATCTGGTCTTTTGCTTTACCATTTGGTACTCGAAGAACGAACACTATAGAGGTTGTTGGTATAAGATCTTGCGTTAGTATAATCCGTACAACTCGCGAACGTCGATACCTACAGCCCCCTAAACTGGTGAGCCCAACCACGAACTACATCTTCAATTCACACGCAGATAAACCCGGTGAGTTCGTTCCTTTTTGTGTTTATTCTTGTACTATATTGTTATCGGCATACTTTTCGTCATGACTGACCCTAGCCCCAAGGTTATTCGCATACGCTCAACCGCCAAAACAATCCAGCTAGTACCATATTGGCCAGATAATGCTGAAACGTGGTTTCAGATTGCTGAGTCTGATTTTTGTGAACATGGCATAACTGATCAACGTTCACAGTTCCTTGCAGTTATTCACGCCCTACCGCGGGAATTCAGCAGGTGCGTAACTCTGCAGATGTCGGTAAGTAACTCGTACGAGTTGCTCAAAGCATCCATCCTCAAGAGAAACGTTCTCACAGATCGACAACGTCTGGATGAGTTATTTCGTAACATCGAGTTAGGAGATCAGTCAGCCGTGAGCATGCTGGCAAGAATGAAAGAGATCATTGGCCAAAGTCAGTTCGATGAAGGACTGTTCAGAGAACTATTTTTATCCAAACTGCCACAGTCAGTTCAGACTGTACTTGTGACACTTCAAAGTGTTCTCATAGATGACTTAGCTGTCTCTGCAGATAGAATTCTAGAGATAACGAAACGGCCAGTTACCGAAGTATACTCAGTTACCGAACAGGCTTCGAAGAAGGATTCTGCAATGATAGAGTTAATCAACTCCGTCCAGCAGATGCTTAGGTCAAACAAGCCTAGCAATTCCTCCTATCGTCGTTCTAAATCCCCTCAACGGCAAAGCGCACGTGGACGATCTAAGTCCAACACACGCTCTCTCAAAAATCCTGACTGGTGTTGGTATCACAACACCTATGGCCAGGAAGCGAAATGTTGTCGAAAACCTTGTGATTTCGGCAAAGCCTCCAAGTCTGTGGGAAACTATCCCGCCGGCACGCGTTAGCGGCAACCGTCGCCGGTGGCACTAGCCGCTTACTTTACATCCATGATGTAATGAGCCAGACTAGATATCTAGTCGACACAGGCGCCGAAGTCAGCGTCCTTCCTGCTACAGCAGCAGATCGACAGAAGGATCCTAACTTCAACCTACAGGCTGCAAATGGAAAACCAATTGCAACCTATGGTCGGAAATACGTCTATCTGAACGTAGGTTTACGCAAACCTATTCAGTGGATTTTCCTAATCGCTGACGTCACAATGCCCATCATTGGCACGGACCTACTTAATCATCATGATTTGCTCGTAGACGTCCGCCGTAAACGATTAATTGACAACACTACTAGTTTGTCTATCAAAGGCATAACTTACGTAGGCCCCAGCTTGTCAATCGTTAAGATGAAAGCAATCCTCGATCCAACTTTCCAACCGATTGTTGACAAATATCCGGAACTCAATTGCCCATCTAACGATCTCCCGTGTATAACCAGCAATGTTATGCACCACATCATAACCTCAGGACAGCCCGTGACATCTAAAGCACGACGACTGGCCCCTGACAAACTGAGAATTGCCAGAAACGAATTCGATCATATGCTCACCCTTGGCATCATTCGGCCATCGAATAGTCCATGGGCATCCCCGTTGCATATGGTACCGAAAAAGGATAGTAACGATTGGCGACCCACTGGTGATTACCGGCGAGTGAACGCCAAAACAACTCCTGATTGCTACCCTTTGCCTCACATACACGACTTGACGGCATCGCTATCTGGAGCATCTATATTCTCCAAAATCGACTTGGTTAAAGCATATAACCAAATCCCGATGGCAACGGAAGATATTCCGAAAACGGCTATCATCACGCCTTTCGGACTTTTCGAATTCCTACGTATGCCATTTGGCCTCCGGAATGCGGCCCAAACATTCCAACGCTTCATCGATGAAGTATTTCGCGGTCTCGACTTTGTATACGCATACTTAGACGACTGCCTCATTGCCAGTCCAGATAAGGAAACTCACCTTAGACACTTGGACTTGGCATTTGAAAGGTTACGCCAACATGGTGTTACCATCAATATACAGAAGTGTCAAATAGGCGTTGACTC